TTGGGATCTCACTAATGCAAAGAGTGCAACAAAACTCTGTATCAACAGATGGCTCCTCCCTGAGACCCAAGAAGTCTCACACTTCTATCTATATTACACTAGATTCTAAGGGGATGTGTTACCCTGTTGCTTTTGTTTAGTTCTTTACTACTTGCGAATATCTCCTCAAATAGCTTACAAGCTTGAAAAGTGCAGACCAAAAGAAAGCAGTAAATGGAGACAGCAAAGGGAAATTGATCCAAAATCCAAAGCCCAAAACATGCATGCTACATAAAACATGTGGTTCCAAAGCTGAGGTCCCGTTCCTATTCCAATTAGTCATGGCCATGAAGAAAAGGAAAGGTAAGGTTTGCTAGGATTGGGAAAGCAGACTACCTGAGGGGGACTCTAAAACAAAACAAACAAATAAACAAAAAACTCTAAAACAAAACAAAACCCAAACCCACTGCCCTCAGTCAATTCTGACTCATAGCAACTCCAGGGCAGTACAATCAAGCTTGAGAACAAACCTGTCTCCTTGTTAGGGCACCCAACACATATATACACACAAAAGTTGAGCTACAGAACACAAATATGCACAAAAAAATTGAGCTACAGCATACCAGGAAACCAGAGGGTGCAAACTGATGATGATTCATAAGCCAAATCGAGCCCACAGACGTGTTTGGCCTGAACACTTTCTTTTAAGTGTGAATTTGTGGCCAACATTTAAAAGTTGGGTGATTTTACATAAAACGATTTCTGGCTGCTCTTAGGGGGGAAGCTAGACTAATGTGGCAACACTGAGCTATATTCCCAAGTGGCAAAACTCAGCTCAAACTGTACAGTGGCTGCTACCTTTTGGGCATAAATTCTCTAGTGCTTCTAAAGGTTCAATCCAAGTGTGTGTTTAATAGACCAGGAAGCATGTAACACTCTCGTAATAAAGAAGTTTAAAAACAAAAAAAACTTCAGTGCACATACAAATCTCCTGGGGGATCTTGTAGATTCTGATTCAGTAGGTAAAGAGTGGAACTTAAGATTCTGTATTTCTAACAAGTTCCTATGTGATGGTGCTGATGCTGCTGGTCAGTAGCAAGTTGGGGTTCACTAGTCCCCACCTAAGTTTCCGTCACTCAGTGATACTACTTGCCTGGAACCTGCTTAAAATATTAACTCCCTTGCCATGACAATTAAAAAAAAGGGAGGTGGCTGGTTAATTACCGGACATACCAGGAAACAGAGGGGAGCAGAAGGAAGGCAGTAACAGTGAGGATTATTACAAATACAAAAATATCTAAGCTGATCTAAATTCATTTTGCCACCCTCACCTGAATGGCTTTTGCAGTTCTAAGCTTAACATACCACTTCCCAGCAAGAAAATACTCACAAATTAATTTAGCTTGATTGGACCTACTTAGAATCATTACATGACAGGAACACACATACATTTGATTCTTTCCAATACAGCCTTGGGCTTGTTCAGATCACAGTCATCTGGCAATTATATTTAAGGCCCTCATCTTTATCAACAGGTTGTCCTGAACTCCTAACTTACTGCTATCTACACTGATGTATTTTACCCTCCCCAAACTTGCTCTACCTACACCTACTCTGCACCATCTCAAATTCCCGTAATGCTTCAATCATTTTAAGAGTTTAAGAGCTATATCCTCCACAATGATTTCCCTATTACCCAAATCCAATTAAGTTCATTTCACACAACACGTTTTTAAAAAAATGAAATTCATGTTCATCATTATGTGACTGGTAGTGAACAAACTGATTTGCTTTCCTATCATGTCTGCTTTAAAATAGCAATTAAGACCACCTCTCACACCAGAGGGTGCTGACTGGAAATTCAGACATCTTTTGTTTATCCTGTATTTTATAACATAAATTAGTTGCGAACATTTAAAAATCAATAGATTTCACAAAAACTCTGGTTTCTGGTGTGTGTGTGAGGAGGGGAGGAACTACTGGGAAGATCTGACAATAAAAATTCCCCATGGTTGGAATTAAGAGTGGTCTGAACTAAGGATATAAATTAGGGAGTCACCTGTAAGTGGAAACTGAAGTAAGAGGCATGCATATAACTGCTTAGGGGGATATTAAATGAGGATAGGAGTTGTGTTAAACCTAGAACTAGGTAACTCTTAAGTATAATGGGCAAGTGGAGACAGTAAAAGGAGCCAGAGAAAACAGTGTTGTTACAAAAGGAAAAAAAAAAAAAGGTATTTCAAAAAGAAGGGAGTGGTCAACAGTATAAATGCTACACCAAAAACCAAACTCACAGCGACCCTACAGGACAGGGTAGAACTGCCCCACAGGGTTTCCAAGGAACAGCTGGTATATCTGAACTGCCAATCTTCTCGTTAGCAGCAGAGCTTTTAACCACTGTGCCACCAAGGGTCAAACAAGATAAGGATTGATCTGAGTGGCATGGAAGTCAGCGGTGACTTCACAAGAGCTATTTTGGAGGCACAAATACACTGAGAGAGAGTTGAGAACTGAAAAATGGAAGCAAAGGACTACTGGAAAACTATGAGTCTGGTTTTTGAAAGGGAGGAATCTGGATAATAGCTGGAGGAGAATGAGGATGTTTTACTTACTTTATAATGATAGGCTTGAGAATATTTAAAGCCCAAAGCAAAGATCCAGTTGAGAAAAAAGGGAATCATCAAGAGGGTAACGCTCCTTCAGAGGGAAGTGGGATCCTCAGAAGACTCCAGCTAAAAAGAACACTGCAGAGTGCTTTAGGGACATCCCTGAGTGGTGCAAATGTTTAATGCACTCAGCTCCAACTGAAACACTGGAGTCCACCAAGAGGCACCTCAAAAGAAAAGCTTAGCGATCTACTTCCAAAAAAATTAGCCATTGAAAACCTATGGAGCACAGCTCCACTGTGACACATGAGGTCACCATGAGTCAGAGTCAACTCCATCGCAAGTGGTTTTATTTTTTTCTGTAGAGTAGGAAGCAAGGTTATTCACTGAAAGGCAGAGGGCAGTAGGACTGCTGGACGGTGTTAAAAAAAAAAAAAGTTCCATTTGAGGTTGCCCTGCTATGATCATCTCTAGCCTTATGAGGCAGGAAATGCTCTTCATTCTTACAATTCTAGGAGGTAGGTACTACTATCATCATGTGCATATTTTTACAGATGAAGAAAATGAGTCCCCCCCTTCAATGTCTTCTTAAAAGTTACAAAGCTGGAACATGCCAGACCTCAGCCTAACTTTAGGGCCCAAACTCAACCACTACTTCCTTCTCCGTTCTCCAGTATCGTGTAATGACACTTAGCCAGATTTCCATTACATACCTAAAGTTACAACGATCACATAAGGGAAGCTAATTTTTAAAAAACAAGATTTCAGTCAGAAGAGAGGGATCACTACCATATAGTAATGACACTTCATACACTGAAACTTCAAAACCGTTACTGTCAAGAAGGTGGTAACCAAAATGGAACATAACTCTGATCTATTTAGAGGCCTGGAACAGAATGACCACTTACTATAACAGAGCTAGTTATAAGACAGCTTCAAAGTACATCCAGAAATTTACATAAGGCATGCTTCAAGAGACACTAAACTGCTTAGGATAGATCTTAGGATAGGCAACTATATCCAATTGGAATGTTTCATTAGTGTTTTAAAAATACAGAATTATTCTAAGGTGGTAGGTTAGCATTTCCACTCATGTATGACTAATTACAGTGCCAGCCTCTGATATAATGCATTACTTTACCTTGGGCCATGGATGGTTGTTAATAGTAAGCATCTAGTTTCCCTCTTCTGTCACAGTAACCTAAAATCTCCTATACTTTTAACCAATTATACCTTAGAAAAGTTTTCCTCCCAGAGAATACTTTAGCACTAGAAACAAGACAATCCCCCTATAAAGGCACAGCTCAGGGACAGTAGTGTTTGAAAAACTAACTTTCCACGATTTTTCACATTCCACTATACCTTTCTATTCCTCAAGTGCTAATCAATTCCACAACAGTATCTTATTTTTTAAAAGGGAAACGAAAGAAAATGCTCCAGAGACCCTCTCTCCAACCTTTCCCTTTAGTCTGTTGGAGGGAGTTTTCTAATAATTAAGGGGAAAAAAATGTAGTAACGAAAGGTTAACAAAATGAAAGTGAATGCTAAACCAAAGTCAAAAAGTATCATAGAATTAGAGAGTTTCAGAAACTTTGCCAGTAAACAAGATTCAAGCCTCATCTAAAATCAATTTTTCTTTAAAGTTTCAGGGGTAGTAAAAGTATAAGCTAACCAGTAAATCAATTTCAGTACTTAGGCTGCAAAAAGTGACAATAACGCTACTGTGGAAGATACGCACACAAGCAGTTAAAATAGGTAAATTAATCAAGCACAAAGATTAAAATATTTTCATTCAAGTTTAGATAGCTAAAAAGCAAAATATCAGTAGTGGCTGCTCCATCAATCCCTTGAGAGATTGTCTTATTCATGTTTTTTCCCCCTCTGCCTAATTGGCACAGTATATGAAATGCAAATGGGTTCATAAAGATTTAAACAAGTGACTTCTAGAGTTGAAATTTAGATTTCAGTAAAGCTGAGAAAAGCCAGATATATGAATAGACATGCTGTTGTTGTTAGGTACCGCTGAGTTGTTTCCAATTCACAGTGACCCCCTAATGTGCAACAGAATGAAACATTGCCCGGTCCTAAAAACTAAGTCAAACCCCCAAAACTGTATTAATGAAAAGATTACAATTTCAATAAATATCAAAAAGTTCTAAAGAATTATCTGTCTATGACATTTGTGATAAAAAAACTAATGACAAAATTTTTAAAGTTATATCCCAAGACAAACTAAACGTACATTATGAACTGCTTTTCTAGTGCCGGAAGGTTAAAAACCACTACCACTACCCACCACCCAAAAAAACCTAGTATGACAAGAAAGGTTACAAAATCTGGCAAAATATGCCCTACCTAAATAAATAAATATGCCCAAAGCTGAACAAACTGACACACACTAAAATTTTTATTTACCTGCAAGGACTGCCTGCTCAATATAGCTGCAATATGATCTCATCACATGAGAAGTTTGATGTAACTTAAATCATTCAAATCCTTTAGAAATAAAAAATCAGACATGAGGTCCAAACTTAACCCACTTTGCATTCTTAACATAAGAGGAAGGAGACTCAAAAGCTTCATTGCAAATAGGAAAATACTCAAAACTGGGTTTCATGAATCTCTTTTATTCTCAACTTTTCAAAACAAGTGTTTCTATCACTGTGTCTTCCTGGGTCTATCTAAATACTCAGGAAAGACCTGAGTAATACACATAATTCTTTTCCCTATTAAGCCATTCAGAAATTAAAGAAGTTTATTATTCTTCCTTACATCTCAGATTATGCCTCCAAAGCAACCACGGCGGCTAGTAGTAGTATCCATATCTAAAGAGAGACCAAACTGATGTAGCCATGTTTACCTTATGTGTTTTTGTGCTCAAATTAGGTTTTATTTTTCTACCTTCAAAACAAAATAGCTCAATAATGAATACAGCTGCACTCTGCTTTTGATGGCCATAAACTTACAGGGTTCTCAAATGCGTAATTCATAGAACTATGAAATAACTGCAGCTACATAAGCAGTCCTAATAAAATACCAGGTTTAAAATCCAATGTACAAAGACCATTAAAAATAGTCTATTTGCCAAAGATTAGATTGGACTATGAGACATAAAATGATACTCCTGAAGAAGAAGAGTTTCTTAGCTCAACCATATACATAAGACTAAATGGGCAGCTCCTGTCCGGAGGCAAGATGAGAAGGCAAAAAGGGAAAGGAGCCAGGGTAGAAAGGAGGAGTGTGCTGTCACATTATGGAGAGAGCAGCCAGGGTCACACAGCAATATGTGTATAAATTTTTGTATAAGAAACTGACTTGAACTGTAAACTTTCACTTAAAGCACAATTTAAAAAGTCTATTTGCCAAACACACTGAGAAACAAGAAGCAACTTAAGAGCTATCTAAATAACCACAAAATATTAAAACACTCTGGCTCAAAATAAATGGCATCTGAAGTGAGATTCTGCCTCCTCCAACAGACATCTCGTTTGTTTGCCTAGAGCCATTTATACTTCATTTAAGCCAACTGGTGTCTCCATTTGCATTCATGCATCAATGTCGAGAGTGAACAATCTATGTTCCTGTAAACCCTTCCCCATTCACAAGCTGCAGCATCCAGTTTTAATGGCAAGCTTCCAGTAAGTACAATGCATTCTTACAAAGGAATTTTAACTCTTCACCCAACTCAATTCTTAAGGCAGACCAGTTGCCAACGGTAAACCAGTTGCCGACTCATGGCGACCCCATGCATGTCAGAGTAGAACTGTGCTCTGCACGGTTTTCAATGGTGATTTTTCAGAAGTAGATCACCAGGCCTTTCTTCCGAGGAGCCTCTAGTTAGACTCGAACCTCCAAACTTTAGATTAGCAGGTCAGCAAGTTAACTATTTTGGCACTATCCAGGACATAAACAATGCATATGAATGTACTTAGCAAACTCACAAATAGCTTAACATCCACAGAAGGAGCACTTCACCAGACCATCCACTGCATACTAATTATGAGAACAACGTGCTGGATTTGACTGACAGTCTCCTGTAACACTGCATAATATTTTAGTTTTATTAAAATAATTTTGTCTTTGAGAATGTAATGACAATCTTTTGGCTAAATGGTAATATTCTGAGATTTTATAAAAACCAATCAAGACGGACCAATACTTCTTGAATCTGTTTTCAACTAACTTACTTGGATTAGTACTGATGCAGCTACTAAAGGTATTCATTTCCTCCATCACAGTCAATGCTTCTTTCCTCCCATACTTCCACTCATCATCCACTTTTCCTTTTCCACATCCAGGGTTATTATAAACCTCACTGCTGACAACCGAGACCAGGGGTGAGCAAACTTTTTTTGTAAAAGGCCAGACAGTAAATATTTGCACTTTGGGGCAATATGGTCTCTGTCACAACTACTCAACTCTGTTATAATAGCGTTAAAGCAGCCATGGACAATGAGTGTGGCTATATCCCCATAAAACTTTATTTATGGATGCTGAAATTTGAATTTCATATACTTTTCACTTGTCACCAAACAGTCTTCTTTTGATTCTTTTTCAATCATCTAAAAATGTAAATAACATTCTTAGCTCCTGTGCTGTACAAAAATAGGGTCTTAGTTTGCTGACCCCTGCCCTAGGCCCTGACAGTATTTCTGAAACAGCACCTCAAGTATCGCAAAGAAAGTCTAACAGGTGTTACAACAAGTCAGTTTGCGGATATGCTGCATATTCGAGCCCCCTAAAATAGTCACAATGCTAATTAGCATTATAAAGGATCCAAGTCTTGCAGTTAAGAATGCTTAACAGCTCAGCCAGCCTTCTCCTTTTTCCTGATATTGAGTTGCAACAGTTTGAAAAATGTTGATTTAAGTAAGAATAGTAATCAGGACAAACTTTGTAATCACCTTTTGGGATGACTCAAATACTAATAGCTAGGGTTTAGAAGATGTCCAAGGTTGCTTATTAAAGAATATCTGACCAAAAAAACTTGAAATTACTAGTAAAGCTCCAACATGAATTCAACTACACCATCAGAAAACACTATACAAGCATCCAGAGGAGAACAAGCATGGAAGAAAAATTATAAATACACTCTGAAAAAAAATTCACCTCAGTACTCTAGTTCTAATTTATTAAAATTATACTTGAACTCACAGAAGAGCTCTGGCACAGCCCCCAGTCAATCTCAATTTGGTGAGGGACTGTCTACTTGCAATTCTTGCTACTTATTTCAAATAAGGATATATGATATTCAGTCCTGTAAAGTTTAAGAATCATCACTGTAAAAACAGGAATCTAAATATTAGGTAGATGGGAAAATTATTTCAAAGTTTGGTGACATAACAACTGGGAAACTCCTTAATACCTGCACAACACTGCAGCTCCCATTATGACAACATCATTACAAAAAACCGGACAGGAGCATACCCAAAACTGGCCATGTGAATACAAAGCCAAATTAAATAACATGAAGAATGTCATTCAAAATCACAGTTTAAAAAAAAAAAATAGTAATTTTAACTGCTTTCCCTTGTCAACTTTTTATGTTAAAAATATTCAAATTTGCTAAAATAGCCCAATAACTTTTAGCAGACTCAGTAAAACTCAATTAGCACGTGACTTTAGATTTCAAAATATGATCAACCTTTCAACGTAGATGTCCAAAAGTACCCTGAAGAACGTAAGACATAATAATATTTTGAAAACGAAAGTGAATTTGAATTAGCTGGCTTTAAACAATTCCAACTGTTTTACTGTTACAGTCCACTTAATCAACTGAAATGTGAGATAATTCACAGCCAACTGCATTAACCAATGCTACAAATACATCAATGAAATCATAAGTTTTCAAAGGATCACAATTCTTTTAGAATAAGTTACCTTTAAAGTGGGGAAAATGGTACAGTTTCTGGCTGGTTTACCATATGCTCAAGGCTACTTCAGCACTGAAATATACTTTAGCTCCCAAACCTAACACTGTATTAATTCCCCCTTGAAGGAAATTTACTGCTGGTTAGCTACAGCTCCCAAAACTAACACTGTATTAATTCACCCCCTTGAAGGAAATTTATTGCTGGTTAGCTACAGCTATTTTCAAATGGCCTTATTAGTTAAGTACAGATTCCATGATACCATTTCAACTGACACCATTTCACTAAAAAAGACAAACTCTAACTGCAATATTAAACATCAGCTCATCCTTACCATTGTTTCCTTTATGTTTTTAAGTAAAGTCTAACAATAAATCAGTGAATGCTTTTATACAGAAGACGGTTCAGATATGGTCATTAACTAAAATTACCTGAGAATTCCTTTCGAGGCTCACTACCACTCTAAATAGCATGTTCTTAAGTTAGATCAAATATTTAATAGCAAAAATGGAAGTCTGGGTATCTGAGTCACCCTCCGCCCCCCACCACCAACTGGAAAGGGGAATTTAAAAACCTGACATAAATAAAATAAAATTTTAAAAAATTTCAGTCAATTTCAAATTGAAGTTACCAAAAACAAAGCTATATACTGCCCACAGATTTTGTTTTTTTTTTGTTTTAAACTAAGGATAATGAGACATTTACATCAAGCTATGAAAAGGCTTTGTCTATGGGTCATATTATTACCAAAGGCTCATACACGAAACCTTTGCATGCTACACACAAAGGAAACAGACTTACACTTCAAGTCCACAAAAGCCTATCCTAGGACTGTGCCAGGGGCACACAAGGCTTTCAAAGTACAGAAAAAACTGGCATACACACGCTGTACGAAGCAGCCAAAAGGCACTTCCCCATAGTCACTTTCAGGAAATGTTTCAAGATGAAAAGCAAAAATAGTCTGAAGTACCATGAAATCTGGGGTTAATCTATTATTCTTAATGCCTAGGCTGTTTTCTCCAAAATATTCCTTGGGCAGAAATAAAGCATTTCCAACTAAAACCAAATCCTCAGCCCAAGTTTTCAATACAATTTGCTTTTCTTTAAAAGTTCAGGATTTCTCGGGGTCTAGACATATAGTAAGGAGACCTAGTAGCGCAGTGGTTAAGCGCTCGGTTGTTAACCGAAAGGTCAGTGGTTCCAACTCACCAGGCGCTCTGCGGGAGAAAAGATGTGGCAGTCCACTTCCGTAAAAATTTACAGCCTTGGAAACCCTATAGAGCAGTTCTATTCTGTCCTATAGGGTCGATATGAGTCGGAATCGACTCGACGGCAATGGGTTTAGTTCTGGTTTAGACACATTGTGTGGTCATGTTACTGTACCCGGGAAGAGCATTTTCTTTGTTGTTGACCCTGCTAGGGAAACAGGTCTTGACTCAGCCAAAGTGGCGTTCTTGTGGGTGATTAATGACAGGCCTAGAACTCGCCCCAGTGACATCCATCCCCACCCCCCACCCCCTTTCTACTAAAATCAGCCATGTCGGAACTGGAGGAGGGGCTGCCGCCTCACCTCAAACCCCCCAGTCGTAGCGTTAATAGCTGCAACCAATCGATTCAGGCAAAAAAAAACATGAGATTTGAGTGAATGTGACCCTTTTCTCGCCTAAATTTATGAATAATATCGCTCTCTCTGATCGTTTCCGCTGGGGCTCTGCCGACTACGGAAACACTCAATTCCAGTCATTCAGCCCAAAGAAAAGCATCTTCCTCTTCCCCACAATACCGACAGGGCACGGTCCCTACCCACCCCACCTCCCTACCCCCATGACATAAGGCCATTTCTATTGTGTCTCCCTAGCTGGAGAAGCAAATTAAAAGAAATGTGGTTGCCCGGCTACTTTGCTGAGAGCGCGCGGAACAGTCGAGAACCCCCGCTTCAGCGGCCGCATCCCGGGACCCCGGTCTTCTCGCCCACCCTGGCGGCCGGGACCCACCTGTAGTGAGGCGGGAGGAGACATCGCCGAAGGGGGATGGCTCCATTCGGTGATACTTCTGCGGCGAAGCAGCGGCGGCCGAGAAAGAGGCGGCTGTAGCCGCGGCCGCCGCCGACGGGGAGGCAGCGGCCGAGGTGGGCGCCGACAATGGCGCACATCGCCTCCGCTTTGGGGACGCCGGGCTCAGCAGTGGGTCGAAATCCAGAGTCCTTTTCAGAGTGGCTCCGCAAGCCATGGCCGGGGGCAGTGGAGGCGCCGGGCTCGGGTGGGGTCGGGGAAGGGTGACGGGAGGGGGTGGGGGGGCAAGCCTAACCGACGGGCTCAGAGAGAGAAAGGTGGGTCGCGGAGCGCCGGCTGAGGTGAGGAGAGGAGAGCCGCCGCCGCCGCCGCTGCCTCCGCGGCAGGGCAGAGGCCGGGGCGAGAGCGAGAGGGGCGGTGGCGGCAGCTCACGCCAGCCGCGTCAGGGGGGGCTCTTCCGCCTCCTCAGGCGCGGCACCCCCGGGAGAAGCTCCGGCCGCCCCCGCCGTCCGTGTGAGCTCTGCGCCGCGCCTGAGGCACTCCTGCGATAAGACCTGCTCCCTTCGGCAGTCGATAACAGCCGCGTGAGGCTTGAACGTGGCTCCTAATGTGCCTGACTAAGGTCAGTAGCTTGCGAACGGCGACCGATGCGGAGGGATTACGGGGTGAGACGGCTCCAGGAGCTCAAACAAACACGTCCAACCGCTTCCCCCTCCACTGTATGACTCTTCCACCCGCCGCCGGCCCCAATATGGCGTCAACAACAACGCCGCCGATTCAAATTCTGCGGCCCTAGGGCGCGTGCGCATAGAGGAGGAGGAATACCGCCCCCCCACCGGGGACGTGTTATGGGACTTGTAGTTTTTCCCAGTCGGAAGGACTCGGCCTGAAAGACGGTGAGGTACTTTCGGGCAAACTACGACTCCCGTCATGCAGGGCGGGCGATTCCGAGTTCCGGGTTGGAATTTAAATCCCCCTACACAGCTTGAATGTAAAAGGAACTGAGCGAAAGAGAAAAAAGACTGAGAGAGTGGAGGGGAAAGCGAACCGGTGAGGAAAGCAGGTTAACAAATATAGAGGACATAGTTATTCTCATACCGCTCCCCCTAGTGATTTAAAAATTGGGAAATACAAAACTAAGCCAACCTAACAGTCCAAGAGAAATTAATTTCAATAATAAGAGTTCCCAAAACAAAACCTGTCACATCGAGAGGCTAGGAAATGAGAAGATTATGGAACGTAGTTAGGACTGTGAGCGACAGTACTAGATTACAAACTCCTTGATTGAACTCGATGCTTTTCCCTTCCCAGGTAGCTGCTTGCATCCGCTTACTAAATTCTTGCAAAGCCAGTTTTATTTCTGTAATGAATAGTGTTTGAACAACTTCCAGAACCAAATATAAAAAGCGAATGATATGAGAAATTGTATTATCTCTCTTGAATATTGGCGTATATCCTATGTGGATGGTGAAAATTAAAGAGACAAAGTCTAAACCGAACAAAACCACACACCCTTTGCGGTCCAGTCAATTCCGACTCATGGCGACCCCACGTGTTAGCGAGTAGAACTGCTCCATAGAGTTTGTCTTGGAGGAAGTACAGCCAGAAAGCTCTTTAGAAGCAAGGATTGCTAGACTTCGACTTGGGTACTTTGGACATGTTATCTGGAGGAACCAGTCCCCGGAGAAGGACATCACGCTTGGTAGAGAGTTATCAAAAAAGAAAAGAACCCTCAACAAGATGGATTGACACAGTAGCTGCAACAATGGACTCAAACATAGAAACAATTGTGAAGATGGCACAGGACAATACAGTGTTTCCTTCTGTTGTACACAGGGTCGCTATGAGTTGAAAAGACTCAAGAACGACACCTAACAACAACAAAATCTTTTATAGAAGCAAATCGCCAAATCTTTCTTCTGTGGCACTGCTGGATGAGCGCCAACCCCTAACCTTTAGGTTAGTACCAAAAACCCAACCAAACCCATTGCTATCGAGTCAATTCCGACTCATAGCGACCCTACAGGACAAAGCAGAACTGCCCTAAAGGGTTTCTAAGGCTATAATCTTTACAGAGGAGCCCTGGTGGTACAGTGGTTAAGAGCTACAGCTGCTCACCAAAACGTTGGCAGTTCAAATCCACCCAACTGCCCCTTGGAAACTGTATGGGACAGTTCTACTCTGTCTTATAGGGTTGCCTCCACAGCAACAGGTAATCTTTACAGAAGCAGACTGTCACATCTTCCTCTCATGGAGTGGCTGGTGGGTTCCAACTGCCTTTCTTAGCAGCCCAGTGCTTAACCATTGCACCACCAGGGCTCTTTTTAGGTTAGTAGTAAAGAGCAAATTATTTGCACCACCCAGGGACCCAAATAAAATGTGTATGTAGTAAATATTGAGCCCATTTTGTAAGCAGAGAAAAAAAAATGTTTATGAAAGTTGTACTCTCGATCAGGTATTAAATAATCAAATATAGCGTTAATAAAAATTATCACATCCTCTGCCTATGGAAGCTATCACCAGTCCAATACAAAACTATTTATTTTATGTGACTTTCATTCTATCAAATGATTATAGATTATCAAATCCTGGCTTTCAATGCCTATTTATTCGGTAACTAAAAGATGTTTTGTAGCCCATTTGTCTATTATTGTTTATACCATTTTTGTACAGTAGTTCAATACTTTCTTGTTTTATAGAATTGTCCAACATCTGACAGATCAGCAGTGCTGATCACAAGGGTAGTGTCAACAGCTAAGCCATGCAAATCTTAACGTATACTGTGGAAAGTATCTTTTGAAAAAGATCAGCATTTAATGAAATAGTAGTTTAACTATGACACTAGGTAAATTTTTACAAAATTCTGAACAATCCATGAAATCCATGATACTATGGAGTCGGTATGGACGCAACAGCAATGGGTTTGGTTTGGCTATTGTTAGGAGCCCTGGTGGCACCGTGATTAAGAGCTATGGTGAGCTATGGCTGCTAACCAAAAGGTGGGCAGTTTGAATCCACCAGCTGCTCCTTGGAAACACTGTGGGCAGTTCTGCTCTGTCCTATAGGGTTGCTGTGTGTTGGAATCAACTGGACGGCAATGAGTTTTGTTTTTTTCTTATTTGGTTGTCATTAGCTGCCCTCCAGCCAGCCCCCATCATAGCGACCCCATGAACAACTGAAAAACACTGCCCAGTCTTGTGCCCACTGATACTTCAAGACTCAACCTAGGGATTAACTCCCCCAGGAAGTCTTCCCAACCCTTCAGGGCTGAATTACTTTTACACACTCACAGAGAAAGAAGCACCTACCTGCATATCTTCACCATTACTCTCACCGCATTGTAATATAATTCTCTTCATAAATCTTCCTCTCTCATCGTTGTGTAAGCTCCTTGCCAATAGTACAGTGCCTTTTGCATTTTAATAAATGTCCATTGAATGTTTCTTAAACAAATATTTTTATGGCCGTATCCACATGGGGTTCCCATGAGTCAGAATTGACTCCATGGCAACTCACAAAAACATCCTCCTAGTTGCCCACATCACCCTGTCCCTTAAGATAGATATCTGCTAAAATATTATCGCAACCCTTTTAGAGTGGAAAAAAGCTGTTGGAGGAAAAAAAAAGAAACCTAAAATAATCTTTGACTAAAATTGAAAATAAAAATAATAATTCAAAGCGTATAAATCTAAACATAGTCTAGAAGTGAATTTTTATTTTGTTAATCAAAGGGAAAAACAAAACTACATTTAACACATTAATAATTTGAATCAGGTCACATGAACCTAAATACTCAGTACAGCTAGTGACTCCAGTGACCTATGCAGACCAGAATTGCTCTTGTAGTGACTAAAAGGCTTATAAGGAGTTTAAGAGGCTTGAATTATTTAGAATAGTTTTTCTGTCATCTAACAAGTATTTTCTGATTGGTACAAATCTCAGAAGCCTCCGAAGAAAAACTGTTTCACCAAGAGGCTGGACTAACCTGGACTAAGTTGATGTTAGGCTTTTCTAACACCTCCTAAAATATTCCCCAGGATCTGATTCTGATGAGTCATTCTTCTACTAAAGCCAGTAAAAGTAGACATGGCTGAATGATACAAAGCCTCATCATCCTGAGCCTGAAGATCCTCTTCATACTATAAATCATTTTCAAACGATTTTTCTGACGTCAAGTAAAGTTAAATGCAAATATGTGAGGTGTGGAGAGGTGTTTGCTGACTTTGCGTGCTGAGTTTGAGTAATCATAGGCTCAGCATTAGGAATAGCAGTTCTAATTCAGAAGGCACTTCAAATCTATATTCAGAACAAGCATTGCCTAGGGCAGAAAAAAAATGTTTAATCATTGTGTGAATGAGTACAGTTAGGAAGAATAGACATTGTAATTGCTTTCTCACGAGATTTTGTAGGCTGGCCCAAACCTCTTCTAAGCACCATGTTTGGAATACATACTATTTTTCATTGTAGATAATATGCTGGCTAATTTTACTTTGACTTCATTATCCTGAATTTGTGTCATTATTTTGAGTTGCTATCACAGAGTAATCAAAACCATATGTCCGCAAGTAACCTCAATAGGTCACATAGTCCAGCCTCAAGCCTCTGTGCAAGATTACCTGTAAACTACTCAAACCAGATAAGTATCTGTCCGACTTCCTAAAGATTTTCTGGAACAACATCCAGAATCCTGGTCAGGTGTAAAAATGCCATTGCAAATTCTCATATCTAGCTTTAATCTCTTCTACATCAGAAGCTGATTTCTACTTGTATAGTGCTCTATAAAGAACAGAGCACTCCAGGAAATAAGCCATAATTCACTTATCCTGAGGGACTTTCAAAGCAACCACAGCATGATTTCTATGGAAATTTTTATGGAAGGATTATAAGAAGTCCTTATTTTAAAAGTTGCATACTGTTCTCAAGGGAGAGTCTTCTGTGCCTTACTCTGAAAAC